ACAAAGACGCAAAGATGAATAAGATTACTTTTTTGTTTTTATATTCTCAATATGGCCTCACTGAGACACATTCCTGAATGATTTAAACGATAAAGAAGAGACAATAACATTTACCATGAAAAAGGAATATATAATAACACACTACCTTTCCTGTATGTTATAATCTCAAGGAACGATACTGTATATGAGACTTAAGTGTATAGAAAATACAACACACACCAATAGATATTTAAATTTCAAATCAGATCACAATATTGATATTAAAAATAGATCATTAAAATTATTCCAAAATTGCTTGTTCTGACGAAAATTCGTTATTGGAGGAAAAACATTTGTTAACATCTATTTTATTAAAAAATGATTATCCTTAATCGTTTATAAATAAGGAATTTTTAACAATAGACCGAATAGAACAGAATAACTTGAGTTATTCTGTAGAACCAGATTCTACAACATACACAAGGAATAATACGAGGAAAATAACAATACCATACATAAAAGGATTATCAGAAAAACTTAAAAGAATAGGAAATAAATTCTACATTTCAACAATATTCAAAATAACAAAAGCGTTGAGATCTACGTTGTCTAAAACTAAACTTAACAATGAACAAGAAAGGACAAAGAATAACCAATCGGTTGACTTACAAAATGGATAATTATCAAACGGTTGAACAGGCTGGCAAACGAAAGACAGAACCAAAAATGTGTTCTAGATAATCTAAAATGTGTATAGCTCTTATTATTAGTAGTAAAGAAAGAAGAACATTGTAAACACCAAAATTATATTATGTTAAATATCAAATATGTATGTTTCCAGTTTAAATTCTTGTGTAATGTGTAGGAATGACTAACCTACCAACCGAAGAAAGCTATATTTCACAGACAACCCTAATTAAGATGTTTTCGATGGCTCTGTATAGCTTTTGCTTAATTTTGCCTATTTAGAAGGAAGTGTAATCTCAAAAAAATTATCTTAATTGACTCTAATATATAATTTTAATAATCACGTGTATATTTTGGTACCTCTTAAACGGGTGCTCTAATTATTTATAACACGTTACACACAATATTCCGCTCAGAACCTTCCATCCCCCGTATTTAACCTAGCGACAAATTTAATTACCCCTAAAACAGCAATAACTTACTGCTTTTTATTGCATTCCTCACATCTCCAGGGCGTGTGATTTGAATCGAGAAAGGTCATCCCCTTGCGCTCTTTACCATCTTCAATTATGGGTTTTTAGGATGTTTTAACTAGAAACACATGTTTTCTTTAAATGGCTGCGCGATAGCGATGGTATAATCGAGCCACCACACAGAAGTGTAACTTGTTATATAGGGTTACTGTTCAAAAATAAATATGCTAAGTGGATATAAAAGGGAACATTAGTAATAAAAAGTTTATGATGAGCAATAATACAGGATGATTCTGTTCAAGATTATAGAAAGATAAACGGTAACGGAGAATAAAACAATTATTCAATTATGAATTACTCCGTCTTTCGTTTTTTGTTTGTATATTGGAAAATAAATAATGGAATAAACTCCAAGTACATAAAATATGTTTATTTGACGTTAATATTTTATGAAAACTTTTTAGCATATTATTGTACCCATTACAGATCTCCAATTTACTTATTCCATCTCCTAATCCAGCTTTTCACTTCTTTTTGAGTCTCTTTTTTCTTTTGCTCATTTTTTAGTTTCTAGCACTTTCTTCACTAACTTATTTTCCTCTATCCTAAATTTACTTGAATCCCTTTAATTAGACACATAACCAAGGCGATTCTTCTGGAATTGCAGACGAATTATAGATAAAACCTGTGGCTGATGCCACAGGTAATGTGTTGGTTATACACCTCAAAGATATGACCGAGAATTACATATGGTTTAGTATTTTGGTGGAGAAAATTGGCTTTGCAATATTGTGTATTCTCACTACCATACAAAGATAAGCACTTCTAAATTTGACAGAATCTTTGAATAGTACTTACTACACGTCTCCTCCCACTGGAATTATACATTTCCAAAAACAAAAAGCTTCAAACATGAATGAAGACTTAATATGATTTACTGATGGATAAAAAACTGCCCATGGTACTGGATCAAGAATCTTTGAGCAAACATGTAATTATAAAACAAATATCAACTGCGTTTCAAGCAAGTCTTTGCTTTGGTGTCCCGCATTGACTAAATTCTGAATGGAGACCTCAGAGCAAAGATAATCAACATTTATACATCTAACAATGCGAGCTATTCCGGCCGTAAAGAACCTCATAACCAAATCAAAACTAGTGAGTATCTACAAAGATCTGTTTAACAACCAGACAATAACGTGTCTTTAATATGGGTACCGGCTATGAAGGAGTGCATGGGAATAAACGAGCATATTTGTTGGCAAAACAAGGTTTGAGAGAAACCTTTGCAGACCCAGAACCATTGTATGGCCTCACCAAAGACGCTGCAAGAAACGAGGTTCAGAAGTGGCTGATAAGGAATCATCAAAAGAAATGGAGAGAATGGTCACAGAAGTGGTGACTGGACATTGCCGTTCAGGAAAACACATACCTATACAAAATAGATAAGGTGAGTTAACCATGGTGCATGATATGAGGCGGTAATTCACTCATATGAAGTCAAGGGAAGCTTGAACCAAAAGATATCCTTAAGCTACGAATGAAGGAACTGTTGGCCTTTATTATATCACAAGACTCATTGGAGTTTGATTTGAAACAGCGGTTTTTTATATAGGTCTTATTACCAAGTGCCAGAGATTAGAAAGTCTCTTCTGTACTAAGAACACGAGGAAGAATCCCTTTAATCTATATAGTAGAGTCACTGTCGTTTGGATTGTGTTAGTTGTGTTTTTTTTGTTTGGGTGTTCTGGGAGTCCTGTTTAGATGATTTTGTCGTCTCTTCCGCCGTGTTATTGTTTTGTGGATGGCGGCACTGGTTTCTGAATGTTGGTCCTGGTGGTGGTTTGTTGCTGTCCTGCGAAGGGGAGTGTCTTAAAAGGGTGTTCGGAGAAGAGGGGTCTTGGCAACTGTTCCTTTCAGAATTGTGTTGTTATTGATAATGACTGAATTGTATTTATAATTGTATTTATTATAATAAATCAATGAATGTATTTATGAATTGTCGCTGTAGTGTTCGCATTGATGCCAGCTATGGCTGTAACCTCCCTATAGACTGGTGTAACTGTGCAATAGGATCGGGAAACCACAAAAACCGATTCCTCCCTGTCTGTGTGCAAAGCTCGAAGTCAGCATAAAATTATTAAACCCTCCGAGATATAGCGATATAACAAACTGACTACCAGTATGCTTTGGAAATAGGTAAACTCATCACTGCAGATAGGTAAATTCAGCAACAGCGTTTTTTTTCCCAAGGCGGTGGTATCTAATACAAAAGATGACCTAAAAAAATTGTTTAAAATCCTTTATAAAAGGTATATAAAAAATGCCCCAAACGGGCTATCACAAACACATTGCAAAACGTTTTCGGATTGATAAATCCATCATCAGTGCAAACGGTTGTACATGCTAGTAGCCACCAATATATATGGGTCGTTTTGCAATGTGTTTGTGATAGCCCGTTTGGGGCATTTTTTATATACCTTTTATAAAGGATTTTAAACAATTTTTTGTGATATATGGTATACAGCCAGCTACAGGAACTTAGTTTCCTAGTAGAAAAGATGACCTGTTATCCGCTACAATTCTTGTTTATGTGGTAATCTATTAAATTCAGAAAAAAATTTTAAAAAATTACTTTAAAACTTGCTTTTAACTGATATATTTATTTATTTATTTTTTGCATGGTTTTAGGTCAATCAATTAATTTTAGAATAATTAATAAAATGTATTGGAATTCCCTAATGCATATCAATGAATTGCATTTGCATTTAATATATCCAGACTTGGATTATTCTTTTAATTTATATATTTTTACTGTAGCACTTATTAAAAAACTATATTGGGATCAAATGGCATCTATCAAAATAGACAATCGTCTGACAGCAGAATTGCCAATAAAAAGAGGAGTTCGTCAGGGCTGTGTACTTTCTCCACTGTTATTTAATATATATTCCGAAAAGATCTTTCAAAATGCCCTCGAAAATATTGAAGAAGGAATAAAAATCAACGGAGAATACGTAAACAACTTAAGATACGCAGACGACACCGTCATTATTGCGGACAGTGCTGAGGGTTTACAACGACTTTTGAATGTCATAACCAGAGAGGGAGATAGCTTGGGACTAAATATAAACACAAATAAAACAAAAGTGATGGCTGTTACACGTACACCAAATGTCGACATTAATATTCGTATCTATAACAAACATATAGAACCAGTACAAAGATTCCAGTATCTTGGTTGCTGGATAACAAACGATCTTGACCACGAGGTCGAAATACGTGCTCGTATAGAATATGCTAGGTCCGCATTTCAGCGAATGAAAAAATTTCTAATAAACTCTACGTTATCGTTGGACATCCGATACCAATTTGTAAAAACGTTTATTTATTCCATATTGCTATACGGAGTGGAAACATGGACTCTCGGAATTACAAGTATGAGGCGTATAGAAGCCTTTGAGATGTGGGTTTTTCGAAGAATGCTGAAGATCTCTTGGACAGAGCACGTGACCAACAACGAGGTGCTAAGAAGAATGGGTACTGACAGAGAACTCCTAAATATTGTAAAAAACCGAAAAACGAGTTATTTAGGACATATCTACAGAGGAGAAAAATACAACTTCCTACGACTTATAATGGAAGGGAAAGTGGAAGGAAGAAGAGGTCCAGGAAGAAGAAAATGCTCCTGGTTGAAGAACATAAGAGACTGGACAGGCATGGACACACATGCGATACTAAGAACAGCTCAAGATAGAGAGCAATTTGCTGTAGTTATAGCCAACCTTCAGTAATGGAGAAGGCACCTTAAGAAGAAGATATATTTTTATTTATGTCAAGGAATATTATGAATAAACTTACCTTTCTCTAATTTCGGTGTCAGTGGCGCCAGCTGTGATCTGCTCGTTGGACTAGTACAAAGTTGCGTTAGACTTTGTTCGGTAGGTGTCGCTAACTTCTCCGCCAGTATAGGATTTGCCGCGGCGATTGTATATTTACGCATTTCCAATAAAACTTGCGCGCTCTTTTGGTCGGAAGGCGAATGAGCATCGGATTCATCATGCGACGAGTTAGGTTCTTCTTGCTAAAACAGAAATAGAACGTCAGTGTTGCTTTATTCGTCGATAGATGGCGCTATATACTAACATATCCGACATTATACAAAATTAAATATATTTTTTCACGTGTTTAAAAAGAAATATTATATAATTTAATTAAAACTTTTAAAATACTATTAAATAAAAATACTTCTAAAGCAATTTAGAAAGTAAACTACTTCTAAAGTACTTCTTTACATCTGTAAGAGTAGTGTAACAATGAAATAAACATTAAAATTTTTGACATTGAGGTGAAATAAAATAGAAAATGATTGGTTTGAAAAATTATATAATAGAGTCACTAGTACTGTGTTTGAATATCTAAAATTCAAAAAACGGAAATCGAGTCAGACTTGTAAGAAAAATAAAAATGATCACTGGGAACACTTTTCGAAAAAAAAATGGAACATGATTTTTATGGTATGCAAAAGGAAATATGGCGCTTCATAAGTGGTCAAAGAACGGAGGCAAAGGAACTAATATAACCAAAACACATAGAAAAGGATGCGGGGATTGACTACCTAAAAAAGTTATATGAAGAAACACCAGAAAATATCACAAATGAAGAACTTACCTAATATAAATGTACATGAAGTTTGAAAACCTAAAGAACAGAAAAACAACAGGTACAGACGGGATACCAAACGAGTTACTAAAATATTGTGGAGCAATATAGGTATACAGTGATTTTTACAAATGACAAAGGATACACTTGTAATCACTTGAATACACAGACGCACGCACGCAATTCGCTAAGGATTTTTGAAGAGTCTGTTTTGCCTTGCAATTCTTAGAAGGCACAGATTAAAGCAAAAATTTGAATTTGGTTTCGAAAATTAGTTCACGGATTTTAATATTAGATGTCGCTATTTGCATGTATTCGAAGCCTTGTTAGAGTTGCTTCCTAAGACAGAAGAGATTTATTTTCACGTTCAGAGTGACTGTGATTGCCGTTCTGAAGAGGCCTATTACATAATACATTTTCAAGGCTCGTTTTAAAAGAGACTGAGACTTTCGAGGAGCTTGTAAGCTGAGCTAAGTAACTCTCTCAATTTTCTACTGATTTACCTGGTTTAAAATATCTATGATTCTGTTGTATTTTAAGATATTTGGTAGGTTTCTTAATTTCAGTACTTCTGTATAAAATTTAGACCACTAGATTTTTGCAAATTTCCTACAATGGAACTACAATTCCGGAGGTACGCAAATGGCACGATATACCTTGCCATATTTCACGTGCTTTATCTCCTTTTCTCTTGTCTTTTTCAAATTACTGAGGATGTGATTTCTTCCAATATTCCTAACAATTTTTATCCATTGGTCTCTACCTTCAGCTGCTCTGAGAGCTTCGCAGAAAGAGTTTTCAGCTGAATTCTTAATTTAGTCGGACGAAGCCGTCACTAAATGGACGAAGAAGTATTGACAGACCAAGAAAAGGATGGTGCGACAATTTAAACAATTTAGGAGGCTAATATTGAAGAAGAAACAGGCTTTAAAGCCTACATACTAGAAGGAAGAAGAAGAAGAAGGTCGGACCATGTAGTTAAGAGATCGTCCTCTTGATCTTCTCCCCGGAACGTTTCCAGAAACAATGAATCTCTCCAAAACATCGTCAAATTTGCGAAACACGTGACCGAAAAATTGCAGAATAATGTTTTTGATGGTATTTAAAATTTCTTCTCGAGTAAACGATACGGTATACTTTGATACCCAATGGTAGGTAGCTGCTCAATATTTAAGTTCCATTTTCTATAGTGGTGATACATTCTTTATCGTATGCTCATTTATAAGTGGCAACTAGGTATGAGGGAATTGTATTGGGATTAATGGGAACATGTGTTTGTCGTGTCACTGTTTTTTAACTTTTAAGTTTTCTTAGAAGCGACCACGCTTTATCGCTAGTTTAAATCTAGGAAGTAAACTTTATTTACTCATTTTTAACACATATTTATTACCCATAGTAATACAGCTGGATAGCTGCGAATCAAATTGAATGTTAAACTAAAATGAAAACCACTCAAAAATAAGTCAATATGAATTAAAGTCAAATTACAGAAAAATTGTCAAATTAAAGCCAATGGGTCGATGTTACACCCTATCGTCATATAACAAGTCCTTAAACCAGTTTGACTTCTGGTACTCAATTATGGGGATGTAAGGGGCAAGCAATAGAAATATAAGAGACCTCGGAATAAAATACTTAGGGGTATAGTCAACATCCCTTGATATATTCGCAATGACAATCTACTAAAGAACTTGGATGTGGAAACCACAAATGAGGTAGTTAGGAAACAACGCAGGCAGAGCCGGCTACAGGTCGAAAGTAAGTGAGGCAACACTCAATGAGGGCTCGGTGTTAAGGGGGCCCAAATTCTCAATTAATGGGAATTATTAATTCCCATGAAGCATTCACAACAAAGGAATTTACCATAATTTAAGTTAAAATTTCGTTTATTGAAAGGAAATCAAATTTGTTAAATATAGGTTGATAGTGTAGGTTGGCTATTCTGTACTTACGAATTATGTGAACGTCATGTTTGTGAGATATTGACAATGCAGATAAAAATATAGCATATTAATTCTATTAAAAGAAGTTATGCATAAATAATGAGTTTATTTAAGTAATTACTAAACTAAAAATTCAATAGGTTATGGGCCCAGAAGACTAATAAAGAGCTAGAGTAAATATCAAGTAAAAGAAATTACGTTTGCAGGTCAACAATTTCCCATTATCACAGGAGAGAATTTCAATAGTTGGAAATTTCGAGTTAATGCCTTATTAAATGAAAAGAAAGCATTATCAGTGATTAAAAGTTTAGTTCCAACAGAGAGAAAAAGATAATTTTACTGATGATGATCCCAAAGTAAAATCGAATAAAGTTTAGTGTGTTAAAGATAAGCATTTAGACATTATAAAAGATGCCAATACGGCTTAAGAAATGTTTAAAGCAGTCGAAGCCGTTTTTGAGAGAAATACCTAGTATATTCAGCAAGCTTACATTAAAAAAGAAGCTGTTAACTTAAAATTTAAACTGTAAGACAATTTTATGAGTTTTGACAGCATTATAAAAGAACTGGAAGGTGTAGGTAGTAAGGTAGATGAATCAGACAAAGTATGTCATTTTCTCTTAAGCCTCAAGGAAGAGTACGAATCAGTACTTACTCCATAGAAATATTACACAACACTGAGGTAATTATGTATTTTGTTAATATAGATTATTGGATGAAGTGTTGAAGAAATTTGATAAAAACAAACCACCTAATTTGAGCAATGAGGCAGCTTTCAAAGTAAGTGATATTAAATGCTTCTAACCTGGTAAAATGGGCAATAAATCATTTGAGTATAGAAGCAGATCATCAAATGTAAATAACCTGATTAGAGGACGTAGTACCTAACTCGAGAAGAAGTGGAAATGCTAAGACAAATAGAAGCAAATCTGACCACACAGAAGCATTAATAAAGCTGATGAAAACCAAAAAATATCCTGTGATGTTAATAGTGGTGAAGAAATATTGCAAAATGAGGAGACAGTATACCCTGCAATCAACTGCGGTACACTATCAGATTTTAATGAGGCAATTTTTGTTTAGTTTTCGGTGGTACACAAAATTATATTTACAGATAAACTTGTCGTCTATATGATTGATGTAACAAATTTGAATAAAATAACTTTTGTACAAATAGTAGATAGTTACAAAATAAAATCAATTAAAAAAGGTACATTTTTAGTTGATTTTAGTTGATTTGAAAGAGGAATGTATGAAGAAAGGAAAGTAATTACATTAAAGTAATAAAAGCTTACATTAATAAAAAAATAAACGCAGTAATTAATATTCTAAGAATAATGAAAAGGAATAAAAAAAATAAACAATCGTAATAGTTATAAACAATTTTACATATTAATATACATTTTTTACATTACTACATATTTATTATAATTACTCAATTGAATTAATTGTAATTTTATTCATGTTAATAGCATATGATTTATTATTAAACAAATATAAGCAACTTCCCTATATTCAATTTTAAATAGACAGTATCCTGTAAACAATAAAATTGCAACTTAGTTCAGTACGTAGATCATAGATGGCAAGGTTGTATAAAAGTCGTGTTAAATATATAAATCATTAATTTAATATACAGCTATTTTAAACTACTCGATAGTTTTACAGAACCATATATATTCATAGTCTTCTTTAAAAAATTTAAAAATTGAAAAAATATTTATTAGAATAATAATCGAGTTATAAATGGTTGAACGTATCTAAGCGCCATCTATTGCAAAATAGACAAACCAATCGTAATTTAAAAAATTATGTAGCATTTATATCTTTCTATTTTTCCATATATCTATCAACAGAAGAATTACCATACAAAATTTGTGATTCCCAGTTGTTACAATTTTTTGGGAAGGAATAACAGTGGATTAAGGAGACACAAAAAGATAATTAAGACTAACATTACATCTGAACCTATTTAAGCCACCATAGCACTTTAGGTGTCAATAATATAATCATCTAAAGAGAAATAAACATCGAAAAGAGTAGTTCTGTACAATAAAGATAAGACAGATCGCTATTTTAATCAATTCCACAAAAGTAACTAACCTAACTTGTCAATATGTTTCTGAAACTATTTTTTTGGGTTTTCTTTTTATATTATGTACTGAATTTTTTTGTATTTTGAAAACGATTTACGAGGTATAGATCGAAACGTCAAATACACCGTAGTTTTAATTAAAATGCTGGTATATTTCCATTAAAAATAGTACAAAAACTTGTTTACAGTTTTCTTAATAAATTTTGAACAATGTATAGCTTTATATTCCCAGACAGCACAAGACATCCCTGGGACGTCCATTTTATGCCAGTTTAAGGTCCAAACGTCCCGGGACTTCTTTTGGACGTCCAAGGGATATTTCTAGACGGACATACCAGGGACGTCCCATAAGGTCGTCCGAGGGACGTCCCATTAGGGATGTATTCTAGATGTTAACTGTGTCATTTTTTTACTTAAGCATATTTTTTACAAAATATAATCTTACTACTTAACTTTATTTTAAAAAGTTATATTTAGTTTTAAATACCATTAATTTATACGAAAACAGACAGAGGCCCCTTTTAGATAAAAATCCTTATCGTATAGCAGAGCTGTATCTCTAAAATTTTGTTGTGTAGTGGAACTGAAATTTAAAAATTAGAAGATGAAAGAAGAATGTCGTTATGTTTTAACGACGCTTTTATTTATCCCCTTTATTTCTCGAATTATAATCATTGTGGTTGTGGTTGTAATTAGAATTAGTTTATTGCTTTCGATACTAGTTTATAGTTTGGTAATTTATTATAGGAATTTTATAGGTAATTTTTGTGGTTGTTGTGTGAGTTGCTACATTTGTAAAGTAAGTAGGAGTAATGTGCTTAAAAAATACTATAAATTTAAATACATAATATGTTAATATAAGTACACAATAAAAAAATCCCATTTATTTTTGCTTTTCATTTTATGTATTAGTATTTTGTAAGTTCCCTTTAGGTCCTGTATACATCCTCATTTAGGTCCTGTATTAGTCCATGTGGACGTACAATGGATGTCCCCAATACATCCTTCTTAGGTCCTATATAAGTCCGTATTAAGTTCTGTATATGTACTATGTACGTGCCAATGAACATCCCTGGGACCTCCAGAGGACGTACTTTTTGGTAACAATTAGGTCTTATTGGACGTCCCGGGGAAGTCCAAATTATGTAAACGGATGACCGTGGGATGTCCGTGCATTTAATGAGGTACATCCTTCGGACGTCCATGGGACGTACTTGTGCTGTCTGGGTTGAAAGATGAAGAATTAAAGGTTTAGAATAGCTGAATTGCCAACAAACGTAGTTTAAATATAAGTTTCATAATTTACTCTAACTACGATGTTTTTCAATAATTTATGTACGGTATGTACGGTATGGTGTTTACCTTAATATAAGTCGTTTGACTAATATCCCTTAAAATGCTTTCTATTTCAATGGCAGTGGTGTCAGACAAGTGCTTAAAAATATCCTCATCCGCCATGTTAGGATCGTGCATGACAGGTACGACAAGGGAACTGAGATCAGATTGGGATAATTCTCCCAAACCGTTGGCTCCCGTAGCAGCATTTTGTTGGCCAATGGCCACGGAGGCGTCCTAAAACATACAAGTAAATTATTTTCTAATAGAAAAAATAACAATATTAAATGACAATGTAATTAATATTAAACATATTATATTTCTTAAATTGTATTAGTAAGGTTCTACAACACATTGCCTGCCGCCTCGGTCTATGTGACCGAGAAAAAAATTGTCCTGCACGCCTGTGAGTCAATTGACCGAGAATTTAAATGTAACGCCGGCTCGATCATTATGGCGTGAACGGAGAGTATTGCAAAATCCTCTATGGCAGGCAACGTGTTAATACAGGTTCATAATCTTCTATTACTACCTTCTACATTATTAAAAGTTATTTAACATTTTCTATACCGTATTGGCTTATGCTTATTGACTTCCATACTTCCATATGTTCTTTTAGCAAAGATAATTTTCTGCGTCTTTCTTCTTTTTGTCTTTTATTAAATCTTTCATTATAAGATATAACAGGCAGCTTTAATGTTCTATAAGAAGATCCTCAGTAGATCGTCCTACACTTTATAGTTCTGAACATTCATTTGTTGGTATAATGGTTAATAATAATGGTTAAAAATGTTCTAAAACAATTTCTGCTAGTCTTCAAGAATTATTTTGACAGCTTTCTAGCTACAACGTACAACCACAGAATAATAAACAATTGTTATTTATTCTGTGGTACAACCAGGGTACAAATAGTTAGACTAAAGGTCGATTCAGATACATCAGTCACGTGTCGTCACAGTCCTGGCGCCGAACCGAACAATCCGTCATACAAAATATTCTTTAATAGAAATATGGCGCCGGCATTCACATTCATCAGTTGACGAACAGTTTGCCAGCTGTCAGATAGTTGATAGTTCTGTGACCCAACAGGACCGGTTTGGCGCCGAGACTGTGACGGGACTGGTGAGTCTGAATCGACCTCTAGGTAGATTGAAACACATCAGTCCCGTCACAGTCCCGGCGCCGAACCGGTCCCGTCGATCCATCGGATACATTGATCCATGGCGCATGGAAAAAAGTAATACCGAAGGAGAATACGTGACACTGTACAAAGAACTGCTTTGTTATGATATAAAATTTCATCAATATTTTAGGATGTCGAAAAATTGCTTTCTAACCAAATACCATTTTGAAAATTAATGTCCATTGTCCATGTATTTTGCATGCGAGAAATCATATAAAACATTATATTTTCTTAAACATTCTATTAATTGTTAGTCAATTTTGTTCATTTGTATCGCCATGTTCCCAGCAAAACTAAAAAATTCGTATAAAATCGGCCGGGCGACAGACGTGTCGAAACATGACTGCTGGGAAACTGTTCGTCAACTGATAAATGTGAATGCCGGCGGCATATTTCCATTAAAGAATATTTTGTATGACGGATTGTTCGGTTAGGCACCGGGACTGTGACGAGACGTGACTGATGTGTTTGAATCGACCTTTAGGTGTATGTTTTTATTTTAATAGTATCTGTCAAACTATGTGATGATCTTGAAAATGAAAGGATTGCAATCAAAATTGTAAACTCATCAAAGAAATCTTTTCCCAAAGTTGAATATTTAAAATTTTAACTAGACACGCTCGTATCCTATTCTGTGGCCTTGCCTAAAAGATTATATGGAAAATTTCGATTTTATACAATGGAAAATAGCGCATTTTAGTAACAACAGAATAAATTCCACCATAAATCAAAAGCATGGAAATTGAAGAAACCAAAAGTTGTTGGCACACTTGGATGCCAAAAAATACATAACTGCATTTTTAATGTTAACATCCTGTATGTCCATTTAAATGGTGTAATAACATCAATATGTACACTCTTACGTAATAAATTATGGGTATTATAATTATTACTTGTTACTAAAGAAGGCAACCCCCTAATAGTAAACAAATTGACAGGGTAAATAATAACTTACTGCTTACAGGGACCTTGGAAATTCATATCTGAATTTATCCTTGAAATGATTCTTGAATATATTTCAAAGATATTTAAAAAAATTTGTTGGGTACTCTTATAAGGTAACCAGGCCATTTATTTAGGATGGAAGAAAACAGGCTTAAAAAAACGGTTAAATGCAAGAATGCAAGGGAAAAGACCTATTGGAATATCAAAAAAGCGATGGCAGGATGATGTGGATGAGGATGCCACAAATATCCTGGTTATTTACCGTGGAGGATAATGGCTGTAGACCGTAACGAGTGAAAAGGTTTGCGAGGGAGTTCAAGGCTCGAATTGGGCTATAGAGCCATAGGATGGATGTAATCTTTCCCATATTTATCCAAAAAATTTTCTTTGCCATTTTTCGCATGTAACTAATTTTCCATTTATTTTGCTAAGAACTCCAATTGCATAGGCATTAATATCTCTGATAATAAGAAAATTTCCTTATTATCATATTAATTTTTGTTAATTTTTGTTAATATGGTTGTTTAGAGACATCTAAGTGCCTAATACAGTATCCTCCCCGATTATTGTACTATGTAAAATACTCAAATTAATCACAGTAATAACAAAAGTCTTGACCAGTTCTTCTCATAATGAATTAACAATTATCACATACTTTATTTATTTTACCTACCTGAAGACAAGAAGAAATGTCTACCATTTTTCCGTCATGATCGGAACTCCATAGTAAATCGTTGTCGATAAATGGCATCGCCAACGACATGGGCGACTGGTGGCCCACCAGGGCGTGAGCCCCCTCCACGTTGCTAGCCGGCTTCCCCAGTATCTTTAAAAATCCTAGCACTTGGCTATCCAAATTTTGTGGTTTTCCAAAGGAATATCAAAAGAGATCTAAAAACACAAAAGACACTTTAGATTGACACAATTTTGTTCTGACAATTGAGATAATAATTATTTAAAATCAATGTGGCTCACATGAATAAGCACATATTTTCGTTTACATATACATTTTAAAATCATGATTTTATTCTACAAACTTTGTAATTGATTTTTACATTATATGACCGAAGCTTTTTCGTTGGTTTAGGAGTTATTGGCTTTTATTTCTTAGTGCAACCTACTGACGATTACAACTTTCTTCTACCTTTTTCTTCTCATGGCGAAATTTCCTTTCGAAGGTTGGCGATCCAAATGACAATTGTGATTTTGGAAACAGCTGAGCGAAAGATTTCTGCGGATGAGCGGTCGAACCATCTTCTCAGTTCTTTTAGTCATGAGTTCTGGCGTCTTCCTACTGATCTTTTGCCCTGTACTTTTTCTTTCAGTATAACTTGAAGTAATTCATATTTTTCGCCTCTCAATACATGACCCAAGTATTGCATTTGCCTCTCGTTGATTATTCTTAGTAATTATTTTTGTTTACACATTCGACGAAGTACGTCAACATTAGTAACTCTTTGTACCCATGGAATTCTCAACATCCTGTATATATACATCTCAAAGGCATATATTCTTTTTTCTATTTCAGAGTCCATTGTCCAACTTTCACAGCCATATAGTAAGACAGAAAAAACTAACATCTAGTCATTCGAATTCTAAGTGCAGACTAATGTCTGATCTCGTAAAAGATGTTTTCATGCTCATGAATGTTTTCCGTGCTTGTTCGATTCTGATTAGTATTTCTTTTTTTGGATTACACTGACTATTGATATTTGCTCCCAAATATTTTATGAAATTTATCTTTTCTATCATTTGACCTTTGGCATACCCATGCACGTTTATTGGTGTCTTTGAAAATACTAAAGTTTTAGTTTTGGAAACGTTTAGATGAAAACCGATCATTTCGCTGTGGTGAACTAGTCTTAGATACTGTCTTACTATTAAGACAGTATCATCAGCATATCTGATGTTGTTTATGGTGATTCCGTTAATTTTAATTCCGCCTTGGACCTGGTCCAATGCTTCTCTGAATATAGACTCCGAATACAAATTAAACAGTAGCGGTGATAAGACGCAATGCTGTCTCACTCCTCGTCGGATTTGTATATCTTCCGATTTTGTGTGCTCTATTTTAAGTGTTGCCGTTTGGTGCCAGTACAGTTCGAGATAATTCGCAAGTCTTGTTCATCAACTCCAGTTGTTCTCAGAATTTCGATCATCTTTTGATGTTTAACACAGTCAAATGCTTTTCGATAGTCAATAAAACATGCATATACATCTACATTCATGTCTCTGCATCGTCGCGTTAACACATTTAAAGCAAAAAGAGCCTCTCGTGTTCCCCAATATGTTTCGAAATACAAATTGAGTGTCACTCATCTGGATCTCGCACTTCTTGTAAATTCGTGTATGGATAACTCTGAGAACAGTTTTAAGGACATGAGACATCAAGCTTAATATTCGATAATCATCGCATTGTGAGGAATTCGATCATTTTCGTAATGCTACGAATGTTGATTTTAGCCAGTCTGTTGGTATTTTACCTGTGTCATATATCTCGACATTGATATTGTCTGGACCGGTGGCTTTTCCATCTTTCTGAGTTTTTACTGCGTGAATCACTTCTTCTTTGGTTATTTCTGGGCCTTTTTCATTTATTCGATTATCTGTGGATGGTGGAGAAGAAGGTCTATCGTCGTCAAAAAGAGTTTGTATGTATTCTTTCCATCTCTCTAGTTTGTCTTCTGTACCCATAATTATTTCGTTTATTATCATTTTTTAATATCGTTGCTTGTCTCTTTTTGTGTCTACCTGTCATTTCCTTTACTTTTTTATGAATATTAAAGGTGTCGCATTTTTTCTGAATTTGTTCGATTCTAGGCAGTTTGTTGACATCCATTTTTCTTTCACCTCCCTGCACTTTTTTCTAATGATTTTATTGATTCGCTAGTATTCTATTGGGGTTGTTTTATGTTTTGGTCTTACGTCCATGAGATTCATGTTCTCTTGCGTTATCCATTCTTGTTTTTTGTTGTGTTTTATGAACCCGATGTCTTCTTCATGTATCTTTGTTATTTTTGTTTTTAGAGCAGTCCATGTCACTTCAATGTCTGTCTGTACCAAGTTTTCGATCGTTTTTATTTATATTATACTCGTAATAATCCTTGTTAAAAATTTACCGCGTTAATATTATTAAGTGCAGTGCGCTTTGTTTGATTTCTTATTATCCCTTTTATGGCTTTTTACCTAAACGCCGCTTATAGTTCAGTCATATCTTGCTTACAAATATTTCCAAATACCTACTGCCGAAAAATATGCCGTTAGGACTACCCATCTCATTATTGTTCTGAAGCTATTTTCTTGTGGCATTGTAACTTAATTACTATTAAACTGGGAATAAGCCACAATTAAAGATAAAAGTACGTTTATTGACGTTTCAATTTCCACTTCGGAAATCCAGAACGATTTCCGAAGTGGAAATTGAAACGTCAATAAACGTATTTTTATCTTTAATTGTGGCTTATTCCCACTTTAATAGTAATTAATTATCCATCTCATTGTTTTGACTAGAGTTGTCGGTGGTTTTTGTTTGCAAATAACTAACTAATCTCTCGAAAGAAGCAGTGACGCACCCAGGGGGGGTTTGAAGGTTAAACTCCTCCCCCCAGAGCATTATTCCGACACTGTTACTGACAAATTTTAAGGACTTAAAATGGTGGAGGTAGCATAAAAAAATCGGTGCCCAACCAACCCCCCCCTCAGAGGAACATTCTAAGTGCGCCACTGAAAAGAAAGAAGGGCCGAACTATATACCGTTAGATGAAATAAGTTCCGTCTATTTCGAACACACATAAATTAACGATATCTCATTATTTAAATATTTTTTTATAAAAAGGCCTACCCTCTCCATCCTATGGATTTTCTGGTTTGAAATTGAGATGTGTAGGTGTAGATTCGTTTTCGCCCACTGCGAAAGAAGTCGCAACATTTGTGCCACCGCTACTTATATTAGTTAAATTACCCAATCTTAATTTAGTAAGTAAAATGCATTTATTTCTTAATATGTTTTCTTTTCTTTCTTAATTTCTTTTTATTATTTTCACTTTTTACACTTTTACTTTATTCTTCGCCCCTCTGTCGATCCGAATCTCATTGCTACTGTATTATAGGGTTCAATATTTGACTGGTTTAACAAGCAAATATCTTCTCAAATTAAGGCCCGTAATCCTTGCTATCCCAGCAACATTCCTTGGACTCCAGCCTTTATCATACGGAATTTTACAGTATAGAATGTCAACACGTTGATGAAAGCTTTATCTAATCCACTGTGAATGCTTTTCCTTTCTATTTCTCTAAGCTTACATAAGTAAAGTTATTTCAAAGTTACAAATAAAAGAAGTCACTAAATATTTTATTTAGCATTACTTAAAATATTTTATTGAAACAATACATATTTCAATATTTTTTTAAATAAGAAAATGATTTATGGCAAAGTCATAGTATGCAGTTTAATTGATATTCTGCAATGAGTCATATATTCTTCTGAGATTCTGAGCAGTAAAAGCAATGTTTCAGCAGATATTTTATAACTTTTTCGAAACTATTTTTTTTTTTGTGGCAATAGACTTTTGTCATTCAGCCAGTCTCGAAAGGTTATAATATATTCCTCAAGAAAGTATATACACATAAGTACAGATTATTTCTCTCAGACAAACGCACAGCGATATCCCTAAAACGGAATAGACGAATAATTAATAGAAGAACAGGTCGAAGGAAAGTACAAGGACACGCGCTTCTCGTCTAGGGGTCCGTCAAGACATTTATTTTAACAGACAAACAATACTGGACCACGGATAAGGTATTGTTACATATAGGATAAATAAAGGGTACAAGTCTAACCCTATACACGCTCATAAAAGTTTTCATGAACGAGTACCAGATTTATAAAGCTATGCATGTGTCTGACAAAAACTCTATAATTAAATTATATATTGTTACAGAACTTATGGCTAACAAGGACTGTATATTATATGGGGCGTATATATTTAGAAGCAGGTTTAGATTTAAAAATATTTAAATACGTTTTTCTTGATAAAATATTTTATTTCTCTTGGATTTTTTCCGGGACTACTATTCTTTTCGATAAATTCGACAAAACACTTCAGTTCATTACCGACATGTAAGAGCTTCATTCATCCTCAAATTTAACATCATGTAAACAACGTTCACCTACATTATTAATGAAATAGTAGTAGTTCCAGCAAGCAGCTTTCTTCAGCAAAACCTTAATAACATCAAGTAGGCTGCGCAAGTATTTATTTTTATGCAAATTGGATTTTTATTTTGATATTTTCTGAAGCATACGCAAATTTTGCTTTTTGTATATAACCGCGCCAATATTCTTTTTAATCATTAACGTATTACAGATATCGTGATATCATTAGTTGATCTTTACAATATTCCTCCATTTCTCTCTATCTTCTGTCATTCTTATTTTTCAAGTAGTCCATGTATCTTGTAAAGATCTGTCTCTATATCTTTTAGCTTAACCCTTTCCCTGTATGTTAAGCTTCTAGAAGGAATAGAGACTATTCCTTCACAAAACGTGCCAGACATAGCCTATTTTGTATTCTGTCGTATTCTGTATACTTGTCTGCTTAATATATTCTTGATGTTTTATTGTCTTAGTATTGACTCACATGTTCTTCGAGCTATCCACGGGATTCTATACATTCGTTTCCAATAGAACACATTTAAACAATCTACACATAATTTAATATTATTTAAGGTTCAGGTCTCAAAGTAAACAATGAACTTTATCAT